CATGCCCTTGACTGGAATCGAACCTGGGACTTTTCAGTCCACAGACCAATGCTCTACCACTGAGCCAAACCGGCTTCAGCCATAATGTGACTGCTGCAGAAATCAAGATGCATGTGACTGAGTTTGGTCAATTGGAGGGCTGTGGATAGCCCGAGTTGTTACTGCTGCACAGGAGATTCAAATCTGACAGGTGTGGACCAGGTATGAAGTCTGCACCCTCCATGTGAGCCCTGATTGTCCTCGGGTGGGAAGGAAAGAATTTTTTTAGAATATTGGATGTCAGCTTTGCTTTAACAGGTAATAATCATGATTATTATTTGCTTTGGAGGTGTACCCCACCTACTTACAGGGAATTGAACTAGCTCCTGGAATGACTGAGGGAGACTTTTTAGATAAGTGTTATCGCACAACCATCCAATGTACGTGGCCGTGTCAAATCTGCTCAGGTAATACTGCACCTCGTCATTTTTATGAGCATATTTACAACTCAGGGCTGGTCTCAGTTATCGGCTTGGGACATACTTCAGGCTCAGTGGCCTCAAGACGTATGGTGTAGCAACTGTTCTGGTTCAAAGCAAGCCTCTCCAAGAGCTTGCAAAACCTGCAGAGGAGCCATAAGGACTGTACAGGCTATTCCTGGCACCATTCACAGATCCATCTGCCTGTCATCAGGGCCTCAGATCCTCCTTGAAATTCTGATCTAAAAGCGTATCAGCTCTGTCACTGGTCCCGAAGGGTCTATGGGTGACACCTGTAATCTGGAAATCAAGCTGTCCTCTACAAGTTAAACCCTGCAAGCCCACACATGATGGACAGGATAAGTTATCTGTACAAGGTCCCAGAGGGAGCAGGACACATCCCCGGTGAAAGCCAGGAGAGTAGGGCTCAGAAATTCAATCCAGGCATGCCTGCATGCAAAGGAAGCAGGAGCCCAGTGAAATCTCGGAAAAGCTTGTGAACAGCAGGTAAGTGGCTCTAGAAGACACCAGAGTGGAAAGACCTGGTAGTTTCTGCAGCACTAACCAGAATAGAGGGGTCCCAGGGATGCAGGTGTGTTCCACATTTTTTAAAATATATTTATTGATTTTGGGAGAGAAGCATCGATTTGTTGTTTCACTTACTTATGCATTCATCGGCTGATTCTTGTATGGGCTCTTCCTGGGGACTGAACCTGCAACCTTGGCATATTAGGGCAACATTCTACACAACTGAGCTGTGTGGAGGAATAGGGCCTCAATTACATTTTTTAAAAATATATATTTTATTGATTTTCCACAGAGAGGAAGGGAGAGGGATAGAGAGCTAGAAAGATTGATGAGAGAGAAACATCAACCAGCTGCCTCTTGCACACCCCCTACTGGGGGTGTGCCAGCAACCAATGTACATGCCCTTGACCGGAATCGAACCTGGGACCCTTTAGTCCACAGGCTGACACTCTATCCACTAAGCCAAACTGGTTTCGGTCTCAATGACATTTTTAATGTATTACCATATGATTCCCTTTGCCCTGCTTCATGCTCACTGAAGCTTAGGATTTTGACTTGCTACACAGGGAGAATGTGTACAAAGCAGTCTCGATGACACCAACCCTTGGGCCCCTTAGCGGTTATATTCTCATTACAAATAAATTGCCATTTTGACTAGGCCTCTTGGGAGTAAGTTTCTTCCTCTCTGAACCGGACCAACTCTGATTTTAGACTTGCAAAGCTGATGTCCAGACCAACCCGCAATGACTATGTAGCAGGGGCCGCACCCTCCAGCACACTCTTCACATCTACTGATAACTGACCACAGCCCTTCATGACCAATCAACGGGACTTGGGAGAAAGCCTTCTGCCACTGTAGCCACGGCCCTGCATGGCTCAGCTAGCTGCTAACAGCTTGGTAAACGTTTCTAATGGCAGCAGCTGCAGTAAGTATGATTTCAGGAAATGGCAAGCCAGCTTACATGGCCCCAAATCAGGGTTATTTTCTGGAGCACACTTATCTGTTCATAATAACATATACCAAAAATAGAACAGAGCAGTCATCATGTCATTTCCTAAATATTGCTCTGCACATGATCAGGACCTAGAGATGGCATTAAATTCCTGTGTACATCAAGGAGCAATACACTTACAGACTCAAAGATCCCTTGTAAATAAACTGAGTGAAGTCCAGCCAGGTGACTGAAAATAATGTTTACAAAGTGTGAACATTGGTAGGTAAAAACTTTGTGATAGTCAAACACAAATTTAGGATATAAACTTTAACACTGTATTTGTATCCCCAAATGCCCTGTGTATAGAAAAAGAAAATAGGGGTGCAATATACTAAGGTTAACAGAAAAATTTGATGGAATGATTCTAGCCCATTTCCCCCCAAATGTTCTATGAATCTTTATCATTTTTATTTTTTTAATGTATTTTTCTTGATTTCAGAGAGGAATGGAGAGGGAGAGAGATAGAAACATCAATAATGAGAGAGAATCATTTATCAGCTGCTTCCTGCATGCCCACTACCAGGGATCTAGTCCCCAACGTGGGCATGCGCCCTTGACTGGAATCAAACCTGGGCCAAACCAGTTTGGCTCAGTGGTAGAGCGTCAGTCTGCGGACTGAAAGGTCCTAGGTTCGATTCCGGTCAAGGTCATGAAAATTGGTTCCGGGCACATCCCCGATGGGGGGTGTGCAGGAAGCAGCTGGTTGATGTTTCTCTTTCATCAACGTTTCTAACTCTCTATCTCTCTCCCTTCCTCTCTGTAAAAAATCAATAAAACATATTTAAAATAAACAAACAAAAAAAACCCCTGGGATCCTTCAGTCCACTGAGCCAAGCTGGCTAGGGCAATCTTTATTACCTTTATAATGAAACAGAGAATACAGAAGAAGAAACCAAAATGGCGGCATAGGGTAGACACCTGAATGCAGCCTACCACAATAAATTTGAATTTATTACTGGAAAACAGGGGAAACATCGCCCTGAAGCGCCAAAAAGCTGGCTGAGAGGAGGCTCTACCATCTGGGAAGGAGAGAAAAGGCACGCTGAACCTCAGGAACTGTGAAGGTGCAGTGAACTGCATGGGAAAAGGTGGCTGCCAGACTTTGCTGCTGGCTTGCTTGCGGAGCACGGAGAAGGCGGGCTGAGTTCGCTGCTGGCTTACTCCCCGCGCGAGGAGAGGGCGGACAGCTAATGCGAGGCGGCTAGCTTTCTTGTTCAGGAGGAAAACAGAGCCACCCTATTGCTCTGATAGTTAAAGCTTGTCTGCACCACCCCGAGACTCTGCCCCATCCAAGTGGAGCAAAGAAATCCTTCCAGTGGCTAGCTTTCTCGTTCGCTGCGAATAGGACTCTCCTAGGGAGGAACACACAGGAATCTAAAGCTTGTCTGCGCCTATAGCAAAGATGTGCGCGCGCCTGCAACTAATCTTGTGGGATTCACCAAATCTTGGCTGTGCCACCCCGAGCGGCAAATCTGGATCTTGGTAGAGGCCCTCAACCATTGTAGTTGCCCTGAAATTGAATGAGCCTTGTGTTGAACACTTCTGACCTCCCCTGCACCCCGTTAAAATAAAAGTAGTATTGCCCAACCAGGGTGGCTCAGTGGTTGAGTGTCAACCTATGAAGTAGGAGGTCCTGGTTCAATTCCTAGACAGGGCACATGCCCTAGTTGTGGACTAGGCTCAATACTTAGTAGGGGGCATGCAGGCGGCAGCTAATCAGTTATTCTCTCTCATCATTGATGTTCCTATCTCTCCCTTTCTCTCTCTGAAATCAATAAAAATATATTTAAAAAAACAACAGCCCTGACTGGTTTGGCTCAGTGGATAGAGCGTCGGCCTGTGGACTCAAGGGTCCCAGGTTCGATTCCTGTCAAGGGCATGTACCTTGGTTGTGGGCACATCCTGAGTGAGGGATTTGCAGGAGTCACCTAATCGATGTTTCTCCCTCATCGATTGTTTCTAACTTTCTATCCCTCTCCCTTCTTCTCTGTAAAAAATAAATAAAAATATTTTAAAAATTAAAAAAAAACAAAACAAAAGCAATATCGACTTTCATAACAGATGTTTCAAACACCTGAAATGTATGGGGCAGATTAATTCTTGCCTATGCATCAAGATAATTTGCACTTGCTCTAGCTGGTTTGGCTCAGTGGATAGAGCGTCAACCTGCGGACTAACGGGTCCCAGGTTCGATTACAGTCAAGGGCACATGCCCAGGTTGCAGGATCCATCCCCAGTGGGAAGTGTGCAGGAGGCAGCCAACCAATGATTCTCTCTCACCACCAATGTTTCTCTCTCTCTCCCTCTTCCTTCCTCTCTGAAATTAAAGAATATTTTTTTAAAAAGATAATTTGCACTTGGAGTCTACTTCCAAAAGAATATTAAGTTCAGCACATCACTAACAACCACCTTTCTTGGTTACCTGCCCCTCCCACCTTTGAAAGAAAACAAAGCTCCTTAGAAGATACGCTCTAATAAGCAAGCTGGCTTCAAACTTTATTTAAAGACAACAATACTGGACAATTAGCTCATATCTGCATCTACTTACATGAAGCCCCTACTACCTCTGGATATATTTCCTGAGAAAATAATAAAGGCTGGATTGGCTTAATTTGGCCCACCTTGTGTCCAGAAGTGTAATGATTGGTATCACAGTTAGACCACCTTTGTAAATCTCTAATTCCACTTCTTTTGACCATCTTTCTGTTCTTGCTGCTGTTGCATTCCAGACTGTGAACAAGGCATGTACACAGCGCCACCTCTGGGCGAAGTGTAGATTTTAAGCTTCTTAGCTCCAAATCAGCAGGAGGAAATGTCCTAATTTGGGGTTAAGGCTTGAGTGCCCTCAGAGGGTGAGTGGAAAAGTGCACAGGGCCTCTGGGAGCTTCATCAGAGCCAAGCGCATCAAACCAGATGGAAACGATTAAGTAATGTTTGTATATGTGTTTGGTCACATCTCAAACAGGAAGATTCTGAGATGAGGAAAGCTGTCAAATGCCAGGGGATAAACCATAAACCCTCATGTTTGAGGGTGGGGAACAGCTCTGGGGTCTTTGCTTCCTGATGCCTGCTGGGAACCCACACACACGGGGAACCCTGGGCTGATGGACAAGTGGCCTGAGGAGTGAGGGGGGTCTGCATCTTCTCTGCTCCAGACCAACAAAGCAGGGCGGCAGGATGCACACTGCTTTGCACCACAACCCGACCCACTTGTCTGGGAACAGAGAAGGCGAGGCTCAGACAGGCGGTAACCAGGCTGTGCCCGGCAGACGGAAGCCTTGGGAACACTACTGTATGGAGAGCAAAGAGGCTGGGAAGAACCTGAGCTCAGAGGCAGCCATGCTGGAGCTCCCTTTCCATCTGAGACTGTGGTACTCAACCACAGGCGGGTGTCCCTGAGCCCTGGACTGGATGCCAGCATCGAGAGGAAGGGGTCAGGACCTGCTGCCAATGACCAGACGCTGCTCTCATCCCCGAAGGAGGCAGGTGATGACACACAATGTTTCCAGGGACAATGCATGGTGACGCGCGTTTATTCTATGTCGGTCACAGCAAACCTCACACACCTAGACGACAGCCAGGCTGAGAATGCCACGTGGCATGAGCAGCTGCAGCAAATGAAGACCGTCCACTCTGCTGCACAGGCCGCTCCGGGCAGGACGCACAGACGCCTTGCTGGCCTGTGCACAGGCACTGAGGCATGTCCCCATCTCCAGGTCCTAGGACATCTCTTAACAGGCGATTCCCGTCTAGAATTCCCCAAATCCTGCGTGCCTCTGAGAACCACACCCTGATTCCAACAGTTCATTCCGAGTCCTGGCTCTGCCACAGACTGGGCCGCAGAGCCGCCCTGGGGGCCGGGGGTTCAGGGCCGACGCTCCTTTCTGCGGAGCTTGTGTCCCAGCTGGGATCCCCGCTGGGCAGCTTTCACCAGGCCTTTGAACTGTCCCTGCAGCTTCACCTTCTTCCTGCAGGACAAGGAACAGGGGGTCACATCTCACTGAGAACAGGGGACCTCCTTCCCGTAATCTCAAAAGATGGCTCCCCCACCAGCAGGAGTGGAGGCGCGGAGGGAGTGCTGCCCGGAAGTGGGCAGCCCACGATCCGGGCAGGCCATGAGCTACCCATCATGTTTAAAGGGGCAGTTAAAGTTAACAATACATGTAGGTACCAACTACATGAAAAAGTAAAAATAAAACACTGGAAGAGACTTGGGCAATCGAATAAGAGCTTAATGAGAAGAAGGCCCTCCAGAGCACAGCTCCAGCTCCAGCCCCTGCCCCCGCCCCCGCCCCCGCCCCAGCACCAGCATCGTACCTGCGGTTGAGCTTGGTTCTGTTCAGGGGGATGTAAGCGTAGGGGTCGAGCCGACCTTTCTTCTTCACGTCCCCCTTTGCTTTCTGCTCACCAAGAGAAACAGTCAGCCAGGAGTGTGGGGTTCCCCTTCTCCCCCTCCCCATATGCCGGGCCCTGCGTCCTCCTGCCCTTCATCCCGTGCCTTAGGTGGCACCAAAGACTTTTCCTGGCTCTAGAAACCAAGATCTGGACTTTAAATGCTAACAAGACCTCTGTTTGGCCCTCCTCCTGGTTCCAGGTGCCTCTCCAGGACGGCTCTGCCCCCACCAACAGCTCTTACCTTGGCCTTGTATTCTGCCCCGGGTGTCGCCTTCTTGCCCACAGGGCGATGGATGCCAGAGCCTCCAGCTAGAGGGGGAACAGAGGTCAAAAGTCAGACTAGGCCAGGGCAGCCTCCTCCGAGAGGTAATGAACACCTCTTCGGAGAGCTGTCGGGGAGATGGGTCACGGCCAGGAACCTGGCTCTGTCCCCTAACAACCAAGAACAAATACCTTTCTCGCGAAGGCCTGTCTTTTGCCTCACATGAATTTCCACTGACTTGATAAGACCACCGGGCTCCTCGGACTGACTTGAACCCATGCTAACATAAAATACCCCCCACCCCCACCCCCACATCCCCCCGAAAGCTAATCTGCTCCATCTGTTCTAGGAGAAAGAACTCAGGCTTTGAAGTCAGACAGACTTGGGTTCATCTCCCAGCTGGAACCTCAGGCGAGTCTCTTAACTTTCTGGAGCCTCTTAACCTCATCTGTGAAATGAGGAACTACAGGCCTTCTCACACACCAACACCGGGAGACAGCATGGCAGCTCTCAGTCCACCGTACAGACGTGAAAGCTGTGCTTCAAGGAACCATATACTGCCAAGGTCAGTGTCATTTCCAGCTTGCACTTCAACACAGCTGTGGATGGAATCCTGCAATGCTAACTTGGGAGGACTGCCAAAGTATCAGCCAATCTTTGCTAGTGGCAACTGAGTGCAACCAGGCCGTACAACTTCGTGGCTCTGCCCATAAAAAACCTGCTGAATACCAGTGACAGAGAACAGAGTTTCAAGAAAGGGTGGAAGCCTCACCTTGGTACTGAGGAGGCATCTCTAGCTCCTCATCGTCAGCCTCTTTCTGACGCTTGAGCTTCTGGTGTTTTTTCTACAAAGGGGTAAGCAAAGCTCATGAACAAGGGGATGTGGCCATCCTCGCTAGCAGTAACAGTAAAAGCAATCATAACCTGCATTAACAGGAAAGGCCTCTGCCAAGCACTTGATCCCCTACTTATAGGTGAGGGCACTAAGGCTCAGAAAGGGCAAGTAACCATTTGAGATCACACAGCTAGGCAGGACAGAAGCAAGGCTCCAGCTCAGATCCTCACTGCTGAGCCTGAGTTTGTCTTGGCTTCTCCACTGCTCTGCCTCTCCACTGAAGTCCCCACACAGGGCCCCTTCTGGGGACTCAGACCTCAGCTTAGCCCCAGTCTTCCCAGCAGGTAAATGAGGTCCTCAGCCCCTTTGGAGAGAACAGCTTCATCAGTCCTTTGCCTGAACTTCACTCCCCTCTCCCCAGGAGTCAAACACTCACTGATCCCCTACTAAGTGCCAGGCCCTGGGGACGCAGGACACAGGACAAACTTCTTGTGGTCCAGGGAGTCTCAGGCAGGTGGGAAGCTTCTGCTCATACAATTATCACTGTCCCTCAACAATGCTACCATCCCAGGAGCTGTGAGCATGGAGCACAGGACAGCTCAGCTCACCCAATTATATCCGACAGGAAGTGACTCAGCACTTAGTACATGGCAGCACCTGGTTAGGTGCTCCAAGGGGAGAGGGGGCCTGACAGCAGCCCAGCCCAGCCCAGCCCAGCCCAGCAGGAGACCTGGGCTTAGAAAATGACAACGAGGCCAGGCAGAGGAATGTTGTGCAGGAGACCTCAGACCAGTGGGCTAACAGTCACACTGTGGTCTAGGCCACAATGCCCGGGAAGCCTCTTCAAACTACAGATTCCTGGGGCTCAAGCTACCCAGGGGACCCCCAGGCAGGGGGGCTTCAGGCCCTCCTCTGAGGAGCACTCAATGGCTAGAAGGCCAGGCAGAGTGGAAGGTGTGCCAGGTAAAGGGAATAGGCTGCAGCACACGCAGGGTGTGTCTGGGCAACGTGGGCACAGCAGAGTGGCCTTCCAGTGGGAAACAGAAACTGGCTGGAAACGGGACTATGGCTGCATCAGAGCGTGACAGCTCAGCTTGTTCTCTGTTCAGCTGGCACCTGGCCACAGCTATGTCCGCTGGCAGCTGCAGTTGTCACTTGTCCCCTAGCAGTTTAATGAGGTCATAACTGCAGGCAGAGTGGAGTTTAGCAACTGCCACTCAATAAAGCCCCTGGGATCTCGATGGCAGGTGATGATTGCCATGAGCCAACTGTGGAGTGCGGTCACCCAGGTCCTTCTCGTGGCCTTGAGATGGCCCAGTGCTGCGGCACGGAACCACGGGGCCTCCCCAGAGGGCGTGGTCAGTTCCCGCTCTCCCGGAGGAAGAGGAGGCCGTGGAAGGGCTGCAAAGCCACGTGTGCAGCAATCAGGGAGGCTTTGGGCAGACAAGATTTCCAGGAAAAATGCATTAATAGCAAGAACAGTCACCACTTATTTAACATCACTAAGTGCCATGCACTTTACATATAAACCAGGAGTTAGGTTCAGGCAGTGACCCTGGGCAGGGTATTTATCTTCTGTGAGCCCCTCTGGAAATGGGGGTGATAAAGAGTGATTGTGGGGCTCTCAGTTATCCCTCAATGGTGGGTGCCCCAAATCCATGACACTGCTGTGGAAGGCACACACCACGCCCAGGGACAGCCTGCTGGGGCTCTACTGAGCAGCCAGGAAGCACAGGTGAGATTAGGTCTGAGGGCTCGGCCCACTGTCAGCAGGAATTACTCACACTCCTGACGCCCAAGTCTCCCATCAGGTCAGCCATCTCTTCATCCTCCCCTGGAGCCGAAAGGAAGAGAAGCCTGTGAGCACGCAGGAGGCCCCGCTTTCCCAGAGGCCCCTCCCCTCAACACACACACATATTTCATCCTGCCTCCTCTTGGCTCATCAGGCTGAGGGAACTGCCAGCTACCTCCCAGGAACCCTGTGTCCTGTGGGAGCCGAGACCCCTGAACACCGACCCTCTCTCCTTCCCGTCCTACATCCCAGGGACAACAGCCCTTTAAGGAAGTGGTGACCCCACTTCTGAGGTAGTTTTCTCTGCAACTCTAAGGTAAACCCAGGTTTTCTAGGGAGCCAGGCACCCCTGCAGCCCTCTGAAGCAGTTGGTATCATGCCCATTTTGACACAGAGAGGTTAAATGAAGAGTCCTACAGCTGGTAAGTTAGGGGTAGGGGCAGAGGGAGAACACTGTTGTTAAAGGATGCTGTGAGTTGCGTGCCAGGGATCATGGAAGTGTGAACCAAAAAAGAAAGAGGAAGACAGGTCTATTTTAGAAGATCTATGCTTCTGTGATCTAATGGATGATATGTGTACAGAGGGATAGGAAAGACGCAACAGTACTCGGAGATGTTACACCTGAGGGGCTCCTGGACAGCAGGAGACAATGGGTTCAGACACTTGAGAATGTCTGAGTGTGGCTCTTTCCACCTCCCAGTGAGATTCTGGGCTTCAGCCAAGTTTATACTTTTGAAGAAAAAAAAAAAAAAAAAAGGAGGAAGAGAAAAGAAACAGAACAGAGTAGACGAGAGACCAAGAGAGTGTATCGCACACGGTAAGGGGAAGTACTGTTTTGAAAGTTTTGTTTGGCTTATAGAACTGTATAAATGGCTGCATTACAACCCAAGAAGATTTCTTAATTTGGTCAAAAAAGTTTGAGAAACTCAACGAGTCTGAGAAAGTTGCCTTAGATACATGCTGTTACCTTTGCTCCTATGACAAATGGTCTGAATGAATGAACAACCACGGACAGCTCTGGCCCAGGCCAGAAGCAGCTGCATCCCCAGACTGGGCAGGCGGACCCACCTTTAGAGCCTTCTTCTTCCTCCATCTTGGTGGTGGCAGCATCCTCCTCTTCCTCCCGGATGATCAGCCGGCCATCGGCGCTCACTTTGAAGCCATGGTCCTTCTTCTTGCCCCGGCCAATCCCAGGCTGTGTGGCTGGCATGGCAGAGTCCGTCAGTGAGGAGGTGG